CAATTTCGGTCCATTCCCATGTGATTGATGTGCATGATGTATCCACTTGGGTGGACTGACCGACAAAATTGAGGGATGGACCCAATACAACACAGGTGCTTCAAGAGATGCTCAAAGCCTGCCAGTTCAGTGAGGGTCTATGGGGTGTTAGGCGTCGGAACATGATGGCCACTAGTTTCAGAGGGATCCTTCGTTCGCTCCTTTTGGGCACTTTAAAGTAAAGAGATTTGAGTAAAGTGAACCAGGCGGATTTGTCATAGTCAGAGTATGTCAGAGTAATAGTCATATTTGTAGAATGCAATCTACCGACCAAGACTGTCAGACTCAACCTGGCCACATGGGTCTCTTTGCCACCTGCCCCAAGTTCCCAGCCACACCACCGGGTCACATGGCCAGGGCGCAAATGCAGAGCAACAGACACCAGGGCACAGTACAGAGCCCCAATGGCGTCGTGGGGCTTCGATGGTGGAATATCACCTGGGTTCTGTTTGAAATCCTTGGAAAATCCACCAATAGATGGCCATAAAATGTCATAAAATGGAGTACGCCCCATTGGACGAACCTGAGGTCAGAGGAACCATCGGATCAACATCGGATCAACCACAATTTCTCTGGTGAGTTTCCCACTGTCAATCAATTTTGCTTCGTTCGACACTTTTCTTGATGTTCCTAAGCACCCTCATTTGGTCACCCCATTCTCGTTGGGGAACTCGTGAACTCCAGCATGGGCAATTTTTACCGGTCACCCGCCATCCGCAGATAGCGCGTGAGGGAGACTGGAACTGCAAGATGTGTCACTTGGTGACCAAGTGGGACTTGTGGGGCGAAGTCACAGATTCTTGCGGTTTCAAGAAGTTTCTATTTTCCATCTATTTTCCATCCCGACTTGGGATGATCTCATTTTGGACATCGAGCCCTTTTAAATTCTCAAGGGCATGTCATGTCAAGGCCCCGAAATTCGGCGATCCAAGGTGGCGATTTGCAGTTTGCCCGCAATGCAGCCTGCAGGCGACAGGAATGATCCACGTGAGTAACTGGACCGACCTGTGGCCGGAACCATCAAGTGGGCATTTTTAGAGTTGGCTACTTAGTAAGGCTTAGTCCATTTTACCATATTTTACCACAAAAAAACATCAGCTCGCAACTCTTGCAAAAAGGTTGACCATGTCGTGAGCCAGGCGCTGTGGTGCAGAGAAACCACCTGATGCCGGATTGACGCCAGCAGTCCCTTGGAGGAGTTGAAATTGGCCGCTGGGAACTTCGGACCTCCAAACAGGGAAAGCAGGGAGTCAAAAGATTGATGAACAATCAGCATCCCAAGAAAACACCAAAAAAATCATCCCCAAAACTCTCAAAACTATCCAACAAGGTGAACAAGCATAGAAAAATACTTCAAACATCCAAGAAAATAATCCAAGAAAGCCTTGAAAACAGCCAAGGTTGCGACGCCAGCTGCCACTCCGGTTCCCGTTGCAACTGGCTTATTAAGGGGTGCCAGTTGCACATGCTGAGGAGTTGGTACATGGACTAGATTCTAGATGAAACGGATTGAAATGGCAAGAAATCTGGAGAGACTGAGACACTTTTCGAATCCCAAAGAGAGTTGTCAGCTGTTTCCCATGAATTGGTGTTTCAAAATGTTTCAAACTCATCTTTGTAGTGAATTTCGTGACGGTTTTCTGGCGAAATCCACATTTTCGATCAGCCAGGTCAGGAGCCCCACTGGAGGGGACTTGCGCCCGGGCGATTGGATGTGCCCCAAGTGCCACGTGGGGGAACTCAGCAGTTATTGGTTGTTAATGAAGTTATATGAATCCGAAATTGAACTATGTTATGGTTTGGCCATGTTTGGCCATGTTTGGCCATGTTTGGCAAAAAGCAGAAGTCAAGATCCAAGACCAGCCCAGACGGACAAGATTTTCCTAACATTCGCGTCTTTTTCTTGGCACCCTAACATACTTTTTGAAGCAGATGAAGTTCTGCAACTGGATCTCCCAGGATCACGTCTTCGCCAGGAATGAGCACTGCAGGACAGTATCTTCCCGCGGACATCCGACATTTCTGTAGATCTGATGAAGCCGACTGATGTAGCTTGATCGTTGAATCTCTTGCATGCCCAGCTATGTTTTTTTTGAGACATGAGATGTACTGATATCTTGAATGCGATCGGATGACTAGGTTGGATGGTGACATTTTAGAGCATTCATCACTGTTGGATTTGTAGTGAAAATCGGCACAGGATCATACCACCCTTTTTGCAATTGCTCACGTCCATCGTCCTCAGGACAATTTTCAAACAGTTTCCAGGTTAGTTTCTGCCCAAGATTTCACACGGAACCATACGGAACCCCCCAATTTCAAATCAAAAAAGAGCATTTCCAGGATATTTCCAGGATATTTCCAGGATATTTCCAGGATATTTCCAGGGGGACAACATGGAATCCCATCAGACCCAGAGATTTTCGGCTCCTTTGCAGGCGTTGTGGGCAAACTCGTCCAACTGGAGCAGATTTGGCGGCCATGGCGGCAGCTGGCACGTTGCCACCTGCCACTACACCAGTACCTGCCCCTCGGTGAAAAACAGGGAATGGGTCAATGGCCCATTTGTAGATTACCAGATGATTTATAGATGATTTGCTTGTTAAAAATGGTAGAACACCAATAGAAATGAGCTGATTTATGATGATTACCAGATGATTTTATGATGATTTATCTATGATGACTTGCAGAGGAATTATGAAGATTTACCTACTAAAAACTGTAGAACATTCATAAACATGAGATCATTTATGATGATTACCCTCTGAATTATGATGATTTATCTATGATGATTTGTAGATGATTTGTGATGATTACCAGAGGGTAAAGCAAACAAAAATGGAACCAACACTATGTGGTCAGTGGTGTTTTGGGTCTTAAATTTGATCGATGCCCAACTATTGGCAATTTTAGGGCAGACATAAATGGGTGCGGAACATGGGTTCATAAGTGGACATTCATCAGTGTAAAAACGGTTGCTGGGGCTTCAATAAAAAAAAATCCCCAGTATTGAAGGATAATGCCAAATATTCCTACGGGTTCAACCCGGGTAACTTTGAAGGACACTTTTTTTTGGGAGCCTGTCAGGGTTTTGTCCTTGGAGGCGCGCACTTCTGGCGCCGACATGAAACCGGGGGACTGGAAGTGCGACAAATGCGGCGATCTTGTGTTTGCCCGGAACAATTCGCAGGGACCTCAGGGACCTCATTGACCAGAGACAATTCAGATGGAATCAGTGAAGGTCAGAAGGTTTTTTGGAATTTTAGGACATATCAATAAATCTATATAAATCTTGCATCACCATGTGTCTCGCGATATTCCCCATTGGTGGTGAAATATAATGTACTTGCAATCGTTTGCATCGCGATGTTTCTTGGCCATCATAGTTTTCGTGTTGGTGATAATCAGCATGTTTGTTGGTTTAGTCCCTCATTTTGCCGTTTTAAATACCACCATTTTCGTTGGTTTAATCGGGCAATATTTGTTGAAATTCCGCATTTCTATCGGTTCAATCCCCAATTGTGTTGCTTACGAGTTAGAACCCCCCACAGTCCTGCTGCTGATGTGATTCCTTGTTTATGACTGTCAATCATAGTTTAGCAATGTTTATCACAGGTTGTCCCTGTTTTTCTGGGGGCCAAATATGAAGCGCCCAAAAGACTCGAAAAAACGAACAAAGGTGCCGTCGCTGCGGAGCGTCCAGACCTGATCGATCGCCAAGGGCTTGGCCAGTTGCTGTATAATATGGTGGTTTCCACAGTCAGGGGGGTACCGCAATAGCTGCATGATTTAGGGGTACCCCGGGTACCCCAATCGATTTGGAAACCCCATATTAAATCAACAGCTAGCTGTAGTTGCCAATACGAATTATTTAATCCAGGTTCTTAAATACAATTTGACTTCTGACAGTGACATCCGACATACATTGACCAGCTAGTTGTTGATCATTCATATTTCATGATGTCAAACACTTTGCGCTTTGCGCTGTGTCGTCTTGTTAGGGAAAGCAGCTGGGCTTATGGACCTCCAACTACTGTGACCATACAACTGTTCTGTTGGAAACTTGCATGTACACTTGAAATTTGCAATTTCAAACAATGTTTTAAAGTTACTTTAAAGTCAAACGATGATGATAACCCCTTGGGATTGCTGCGGATTGTCCGACTAAGCCGAAGCGCCAAGACACCAAGGCGGAGCCCAGTGCGATAGGTGGATGGGTCGTATGGGCTGGGATTTCCGTCAAAGCATCCCAGAAAACCTGAGATCAGCAGGTGGCCATTCTTCACACTTTTTCTGCATCTGCCAGGTCGTGAAGTGGAGACAGATGGCCAAGAGCAGTATCAGGGCTGAACTTTTACCTCTTAAGGTATAAATTGCTCAGGCGTGGGATTTCTCTGCCTTGGGCGGTGACCAGGTAGGTCTACCTGCCTGGAAACCACTGTAGTTCGGCGCAGTGTCATGACAGGAGATCATGGCACGGGGTTGAGGATGTTGAGGATGCCGGTAGCCAGATGGTGACCAGAAAACTCTCCCATTCAACAGCATTCATCAGCATTCAACATACGCAACATCATCATTCAAGAAAACATATGAACACATCATGTCTGGATTTTGGCACGAGCTATTGCAACCCCAGATATCGAGCGAATATTGTGACAGATGTTCCGGCTGAAAAGGTCGTTGCTGTTGGACGTCTCAACAGGCTCCACAAAGTTAAGGAACCATCTCTGAGCCATTTAATACCTATGATTTTCCAGCAGAGTGGATTGCATTCTGGTCACATCCATCCAGCAATTTTGACGTTTACATTACCCGGGTACCAGGGTTTTGATTTGATCGTGAGTTCAGCTTTGAAACACGTGTGAGTGTTGCCTGCACTGGTCACTGGTCCTTGGATTCAGTACACCTGACGTGCGGGATTGTGTGGGCTTTTGAAATGGTTTTGGCTCAGTTGACACCAGAAGAGAGCAAAGTCCTCTCAGCCGTCCGGCTTGAAGAAGCTATGGCGCTATGGTTTCTCAAGTCATGATGGACAGGGAATCAGGCTGACATGAACGAAGAAGATGAGCTGCAAAAACTGTGGGACATTGGGCCTAGAGCTCATGTAGCCACAAACTTTGATTTTGTGAGCGAGAATGAACAGATGCAGATCCTTTTGAAGCAAGAGGTGCTGAACCAAGCTGAAAAACTGAAGTGCCAGATCCGCTACGTGGATTACAAATTGAAGTCCATCCACGACTTCATTGAGAGCTTGCCATGCGCCTTTCATTCTTGGGCGCTGGTGCGAAAGACTTCAGCTCAGTCGATGGAGGCTGACTTGGAAAGCCCGCTGCAACCTGTGGAAGCCACCCTGGGTGCGGCGGGGACCGCGGTCCCCTCCCCAAGAGGTCCTAAGCCCAGCAAGTCAGGCCGCGCCCGGCGCGCAGCTGTGGTAACATTGAGCAATGGGGAATCCATTGAAGAGGCCAACAAGAAAGCGGCACAGAACCTTACATTGAAGGTTGATTTTGGGGATTGATATTGGGGTTGATTCTTGATCCCTCCTTTTTGGGCTGACTTTTGATGATTCGGGATGATTTTCAGCCATTCTAGTATCAATTTCTGCGTGGACACCTGAATGAACGGAAATGGTCGGGTGAATGCTTGTACCGGGGCAGAAAGTTCTTTTTTCAGTTGCTGGTGTCAAGAAACTTTTTGGTCTTGACAGTTTTACAGGACTTGGAATGAGCACCATTGTTGACCTGTATATCTTTCAGGCCAACCCATCTTTTCTCGGTCCTTGGGTCCGAAAATCCAAGGAGTTACTTCCCTGAGCCAAACCGATTGCAGTTCAGCCTTACAGCAGAAGTGGTTCGAGAGATTTGTCAGCACATCTATGATTCCGCGGCTCGATTGCAGGATATGGATGGCGAGTTAGTTCTCCCATCGTTACACAGCCCCATTCTATGGTCCCAACTGCTTTCATCTCCTATGAAAAACCATGGTTGCTGGGGGGTAAGGACTTTCCTGGGGGATGGAACTCAACAGTTCAGCCTGTTTGGATCTTTCCATGATTGATGCATGGAGTCACTTAGCACTGATTTGGGTGGGCGAAGTGAGCCATAAAGATGTTGCTGTAATACTGGATGATTCCTCCAAGTTTGGATCCCATCCTAAGTGGCATGATTGATCAAAACAGCTATGGCCCAACATTCTTGAGCCCTGAAATTGCATAGTTTCATACCCAAACAGATCCCAAATTCACCAGACTTGGGGTGGCTTGGTCTCAAAAATGGGTGCTTTTCCCCTATTTTTGGCGTTCGCGGCAGGTGCTGGTGGTGAACCCTCAGTGGAATTTGCGGATCGGCAGTGTTGAAGCGGCACGGAAACCTGCTTGGGACCTGATGGTCCTCAAGGGTTGCAGGTAGATGGGGCAGCAAGAACAAGAACGATGATAACGATGGGTTTTGATGATGAGTGCAGAATGTGATCACTTCCGTGTACAATAGATTACAATAGAATGCTATATGGTGATGAACAGAACTTCATGATTTAATACCTCCTGCTGATATAGAACATGCCAAGTCATGCCAATCTCTGGCCCCTTGTACCTTCAATTTGGATCCATAGAAGGGACGTGGACAGCCCGATGACAAACATTCTGCACCACAAGAAATCCACGTGGGTTAGTCATGGATAGTCCAAGAATGGGGATACCCCGTGCTACATTTTTTTTTCGTAGGGAAAATCATGACTAATCCCACCCCCTAATATTAAGCACCCCCATTCTATGGTCCCAATGATGTGGTTTCATCCCCTACTAAACCATGGTTTCTGGGGTGTTTAATACAACAGTTGGATGGGATTAATCATCAAATTGAGGGGCACCTTATTTTCAAACACACCGATATTTCCTGAATTTGTGTTCCTAGGCCCTGCTCGCGTGGGACTTGACCTCCCAGATTCATGGCTGCTGTCGCATTCCCGTGACCCTGGTGACACAGCGCGAAGGTCCCCTGGCAAGGAATTGGCTCTCCAGTTGGTGGGCCATTGTCATCGGAGTATACAAAAGGGTCAACCACCATCTTAAGATAGTAGGAATCCACTTATCCATACTTTTCCATCTTTTTCCATACTTTTGCAGACTCCTAGAGTATATGCAACTTGGAAAGCCTGATCTTTGAGCGTCCCCCTTTTTTTACGAGTGGCCAACATGCTTCATCGAAGTTCAGGTAGGTTCTGCTTTGATCCATGTGCAGGTCAAACAGTCAGAAGTGTTGGTAGTAGAATCTAGACTCACCATTTTTTGTTGCTTTCCCAATCCTCATGGTGGGTTTTCAGCGCGCTCTTCTGTTTTAAACCATGAACCATATACCCCCATCATCCCCCATCAATTTTGCACGGTCAGGAAGACAGTACACCTTCATCTTCATAGTGCTGATGGTGGAGGATCAGTTCGCCTTGCTGGGCAAATATTTGTTGAAGGACTCTGGGACTCCCCGCTGCTGTTTTTTGGGGAGGATGACGACGATTTAAACAGGGAAACAAATTCGCAGAAATGATGGTTTGGCTTGGTTCACACAGTCGTTTTATCATCCATGAAAGGTTCAGGTCGCTTGCAGGCACAGCCCTCTGAAAGCTGCAAAGTGAAAAAAGTTCAAGGGTCTGGGTCTAACCAACCCAATCCCTTTTGCAATAAGGGTTGGGAAATGGCTCTCTGGAACCAATGCCACAAGTTGGGGGATGGACTGAATGCAATGAAGCGGGCAGAGAATCTATCATGATCCACCTGGCAATGCCATGCCGCAGCGGCTCGGTACGGTACCGCATACCGAACCAATAAATACTAAGGGTATATCCAGCAAGATGCCGTACCAGGCAGCAATTACGCAAAGATGTCCTACAAGGAATCAAAATTACTAAGGTACTGCATGCACAGCCCCCTCGACCTGTACTGTGCATGTCAACCTGGACGCAGGTGTCACGGGGGAGTTCAGTACCTCAGCCTGTAAATGATCCAACCAGCATCACTGTACTAGATCGTCCCCTCCAGAGCACCCACTGGGTGCACGCCGCTATTGGGTGCCCGGGTCCTCTACGCTAGTTACATGCGAAAGGTCCTTGCCAATGCCTACGTCCCGCCTACGCTGAAACATCTCGCTAGAAGGGTACCTATGCACGAGCACTCTTCTGGCCTCTGCTCCTAACCTACGCATGCTATGTCACACACACAGTATATCACACGCAGCCTATCGCAGCCTCGTTGCCATAAACCCGTAATTGCGCAAAGCTCACACCGCACGGGAAGCATGTTTCGCACCAAAAACCTTGAGGCTCAGTGCTCATCTAAATCTCAGCATCCCAAAACCACTGCTCAAATGAAAATCACGTCAACAACTCGACAGCAAAAGCAGGAAAACATCAGACCAGCACTATTTCTCTACGAGGGCCTACGGAGCGCCTCCTCAACCTCTTCTGTCACCGCTTGCAGTACTGCAGCATCCCTTTTGGATACCCATTGAATTACCCATTGCCGCGCTACCGGAGCTACAAAATCTCGCGGAAAGCCAGCTAGACAGCATAGTGATGCCTCCTCAAATGCTAACGATCTCCCTTGAGAGCAACTGGACAAATAGAAAATGCGGCAAAGCCATCGTTTGATGATAGCCACTTTCTGGGAGCGGGGATTCCAAGACGACCAAGGCTGCAAGATACGGAGGTCAACAGTGTGATATAAGGATGCACCAAGTGGGTCAGGGAAAGCCGGAGCAACCAACAAGCCATCAACACCAAACGTAGTACGCAATCCAATGAAGGTCTGGAAATCTGCTTCCTCCAAGGTCATGGTGCCAGAACAGATGCTCCGCCCAGATCCAGAGCTGCACAAGCATGCGCATGAACCAAAAAAGGACACAAGACACCAAGTCGAGACAAGTTGTGATCAAAGATCTGGCTGAAAAAGGGCGCAAGGAAATCCCTAGCCAAGGCAACATCCATCCAAGAAACAGGGAAACAATGCGAATGCCGCACGGCCAAGTCCTCCAATGCCCCAGCCAGAGTAGCCACGCAAGATTCCACCCAGCAAGCCTCATCTACTAACTTGCACCTATCCCGTAGCCTACGCATCATATTCCTCACAGCCATGCAAATTTGCTGTCTCTTCGGTGGCAAACGCAAATTGGCTGGAAGAGTACGGAACTTCTCTAAGTGGCATGGCCACGGAACTTCCGCTTGAGAGGCGGCAATATGGGCCTTACCGCCAAATGTCACCGTTGGCCAAGTGGGATCCTGAAACAGAAACTCATCACAAATACAAGGAGGGCCTTGGAGAGAAAAATGCTCAAAGAAATCGTGGCAGCGAAGCACATCACCTAGCAAAGGCGTAGACGCCCACTTGAATGGTACCTTCGCATGCCGGAGAATAGGCAGCCAGTGTCCAGCATTTCGCCAAGAAGCCACCAAATCTCTCACAGCATTGGTAACTAAGCTCTGCGCCCGCTGGGAACCAACCCGAGGGACATCACAGGATATCACAGCAATAGGCGAAGGCAAAGCTTTCCGAACACGAGCAATCCGACGCAGCATCCGCAATGCCCTCGCCCTACGCCAGCCTACCTCGTGATTCACTGCCCGTTGCACAACATACACCCAAGCAGCTCGCGACAACCTCCATGCAGCCACGGAAGAAGGCCCACATCCAGGAAAACAATGCCCTGCCAGCGCTGCAACGATCTTCGGCAAGCCAAGTTTCCAAGCCTCCTGTGCAGCTTTGTTTTCATGCCTCCGCTGTGAACAGCCCGGGGTCTTATCTCGGAGTCTGCACAAAGACTGCCGGCATCCAAATAGGCGAATGCTCGGGAAGGTTCTTTTAGCATGAAAATGGCGAAGCAAACGGTGCACCTTTGGAGGATTAAGCGCACCAAGCCTTTGGATCCATTCCATCTCAAGAACTTTTCGGGCACTGCTGTCACCAGGCGCATGGGCAACAGGAACGAAAATCCATTCACAAACGGACAATCGCATGAGGTGGGAAGACCGGCGCAAATATAGCGAAATCCCCGCAAGGATCGCCGCCAAGCAAGCACTATATATCTATACCATTCTATACCACCATATGCCACCCTTACTCAACACATGAGGATACCGCGGTTAGCGATACATACTGTGCGGGCATCCTGGCATTCAAAATCCAGTCAGCCAAGATTGCAAAGAATAATTGGCAACAATCAAGGACCAAAAATCCAGGCTGCTGAAAAATCCAGGCTGCTCGTGGCACGTTGCATGCAAGCAACACAAGAGTTGCATACAAGCAACAGACAAGTGTCATAGAATTAATGGAAAGGTTGCATACCAGCAACCGGAAAAAGTTGCGAATAAACAACAAGAACAAGCTTACCCCAGGGCAACCACCTGGTGTCCGTCTACGGCACAGGCCGAGTAAAATGAATGCAATGAAGCGGGCAGAGAATCTATCATGATCCACCTGGCAATGCCATGCCGCAGCGGCTCGGTACGGTACCGCATACCGAACCAATAAATACTAAGGGTATATCCAGCAAGATGCCGTACCAGGCAGCAATTACGCAAAGATGTCCTGCAAGGAATAAAAATTAAGGTACTGCACGCACAGCCCCCTCGACCTGTACTGTGCATGCCAACCTGGACGCAGGTGTCACCGGGGAGTTTAGTACCTCAGCCTGTAAATGATCCAGCCGGCATCACTGTACTAGATCGTCCCCCAAACCGTTGATTAGGGCCTCTACTGTGTTTCCCGACTTTTGGGGGGTTGTTGGACACAACTTTTTGGCGACTAGACAGTGGTTGGTACCCCTTGAAGAGGCGGTGTTTGCTGATGCAACGAGCCCGGTTACATCATTCACCCCAGTTCCCTGGTAGGTAGCAGTGTACTGTATACCCAAGCATGGCTACATCAAATTGGAGAATCATCTTCCAAACCCAATGCTTTCAACATTGACGAACCTTAGTCCGGAGGAACTTTGCTTCCTTCCACTACGAAGGCACAAAGCCGTTGGGTGTGAGCCAGCCAATTGTCAATTGTCCGCTCAAATGTAGTTGGTTTTAAATGGGGGATACCTCAACATTGCTATTTGTTAAGCGAAAATGACTGTAAATCACATTGGGCACCACATTTCAAGAAATACCGTAATACCTTTAAATGTCAACATGCAGTGGAATGTGAAGATGGAACGTGAAGATGATCATGGACGTATCCACTAGTCAAACCACCTTTCGGTTTCTTATGTTCGGGTCTCATCTTGGGGATTTAGTGGTTCAGTTGCTGGAGGTTTTGTTAGTTGTCCCCCAAGTCAAACTTTTATTCCTTGGAAGTCTATGTTTCGCCTCCTGCAGGCAGAAATTGTCAGACGTGGTGGATCGTGTGGGAGACATCCTCAGCTTGCGCGATCACAGTCTCTCTACCCTGCCACCTGGTCGAAACAAGTTGCCCCGTAGTAGATCAGTTGAGGATCAATTGGGCCATTTGCGATTTCAGTGGTTTCCAGTTGGGTTTCCACAGAATGCATCACCCAGACTGGAAGGGGGTCAAAAAGAAGCACATGTTGGTTACATTTTGATATTTACACACATATATATATATGGCCATATATATATAATATTATATATATACTTATTTATACATGATGTAATATATTGGTTTGTTATCTTTTCAATAGGTCCAGTTTTGGGCACCCAAATTTGACTCAGATGACAGGTACTTGGGGCTGCCTACAGATGGCACATCGGCTCCAGGCGTGTTAGATGACTATGAAGAAACCATAGGATAAATATGTAGTCATCCTGAAGAATATGGAACTTTCAAAAACGACTTCAATGGACATGTTTGGAAATTCCATATTCTGTCTACTTCAGGATGATAATACAGTAATAATACATATTATATATAAAATATACATATATCATAGAACAGATGCATCCTGGGGTATTCTATGGTACTTTCAGCGCAAAAGCAGTGGAACAAAAGGTGGATTTGGTTTGATATATCCATAGATATCCATAGATATCCATAGATATCCATAGATATCTATCATAGATATCCATAGATTTTCTATCTGAGAGCAGGGTTGGCTCCATTGCAAGGTGTTCACCTTCCTTTTTCGGGGTGGTTTTGAAGATGGATTGCGGTGGGATTTCCCCCCTGTTCGCCAGATGAGTCACCGACTTTTTGGAGAGTTCTCAAGCTCAGTTGCAGGTGGGTTGACCGTTGCCAAACGTTGTCACGTTGTTCAGCTGTCACCTACCAGGCTAAGCCTTTCAGAAGTTGTGGCTTTTAGTGAAAGGCCATATTTGGGCGACAACTAGTAGCTAGACAAAAGGTATAGTCAAGTATAGTCCACGGGTGAAATGCGCTGGGGTGCTGAGTTTTCCTTGACGCTTAATTGTCAGTCATACTTGTCATGTTTGGGCGAACATAGGGTACCCATCGGTACCCCAGAATATCATGATCAGTTCATGTTTCTGCATTTTTCTTCATGTTTCTTCATGTTTTCCTCATTTGTCCTAGTTCAAGGTGATCCCAAAAATACCAAAAACGCGGCAAAAAACGGTACCTCCAAGACCATTTTTTTTGGTTGCTGGATCCCAAAAAACCTCGTGTAGCAATCAGGTCCATCCACGAAGAGTTGATGATCCCCTTTTCGGTTTAGGCGCCAGGAGTGGCACTCGGTCCTGGCAGCCTGTGACTTCTACATGGCTAGGAGGCGCCCCGCAAGGGCCATGCCATGGAAAAATGGAAAAATGGGAGATTTATGTAATGTACTTTACATAAGTATTAAATTAGATATATTAGATGTAATAATGGGATATATGATATATATTGATATATGAGAATTTGACCATGAATATTAATACATCCCGTCCACAGTTATGCAATGCTATACATCCCCTGGTAATTATCCCATGAATGGTGACACAACATCAAGTATTAATGCACTATATTAAGCAAAATTCTACTGGGATATTGTCATTTCATGGGATATTCTTGAATATGTTTGACAAAGTATAGCTATCAATCTATCAATCCGATCCCCTATGTTAATATGAACCACCCCCATTCTATGGTCCCAAACATCTGGTTTCATCCCCTACTAAACCATTCTTTTTCTTGGGGGGTATTTTATATGAACCGGAGATGGGATTCAAAAACACATGATTTTCCAGCCTTTGATTTGGCTTCATTTTTGGGAGTGAAGGTTTGGATGTAGTGGGGACCCGCCCCAGTTTGAAAAAACATGCAATCGGATGATGGCAGGCAACAGGTGTGCCGGACTTAGCTGGATCCTTCGCCAAGAAGCCAGCGCAGTCATCCCAGCTCATGAGAACTCCAGTTTCTAAGTCCCCAAGTGGGTCATCCATTTGTATATTGATTCATTAGGAATGATAACTATGATTAGTTACAGTTAGAGTTTCTTGAGTTTCTGAACGATTTAATACCATGGTTTGGTCACTAACCATTCCAGTGACATAGATGCTGCTTTTGCAACGTGTCCAACGTGTCCAACGTGTCCAACGTGTCCAACGTGTCTAAGGCGTGAGATCATCTCGGAGGTCCTGCTGTCTCAGGATGATCCCGAACAAGGCCAGGCACGGTGGCACGGTGGCACTGCTCCGTGGAGCCCCTCTCACAGCGGTCACAGCGCCACCGATGGCCACAGGTCATGGCTATCAGAACTACAAAGTTTCAGTGCCCCAAGGCGCGGTGGGCAGAGGTCAAGCATCTCTAGCCGTTTGAACATGTTGGCGGCCTGATTCCAGATTAATGCTGGAAAGGTTGGTTGAGATTTTCCCAAAACATCCCGCCCAGCCTGTATTTTGGGGCTGCGTTGATGGTGCTTCTCCTTTGTCAGGCTTAGCCCTGTGGACAAATTCGCGGGGTGAAGCTCGCCTGAAGGCCAGATTTTGTCCGCCGGAGCTTACGTAGTATATCAGTGTGTATTATATATATATAAATAAATAAATATATATATGTAGTTAAAACAGATTGAACGTTGATAGAGACTATTCAGCTTTCTCTGAAAGTGAATTTGAGCAGCAGATGATCTGTGAGCCCAGCCTGATAGACAGCCAGCGGAAAAACCTAAGAAGTTGTGGTTGCCAGTGGCCAGACGTGCCGGTCTTGGTTAACGAGCCTTCTCATAGAGGGGAGGGGCTTGGATCCACCCGATACGGCTCGGCGATGCAGCCCTAACTTGGCAGGTCACTGAGCCTCTACTGGTCCGGAAACGGATCAAGAAAATCCCTAAGAAGGCGCTGGGGTCGGGTCCGGTGACCATGACCTGGATCAATTTTGGATGGTGGCGATATCCCGGGGATATCATGGGAATGGGAACGGGGAATGGGAGTTGATGGGTTCCAGGTTTGAAATGATGAAAGATGTTTTTCACGTTCTTTTGGATGATGAAAACCCAGCTGACTGCTGACATTTGCTGACTGATCTGGGAGAAGAACAACTGGCGCCAGGTGATGCGCGGCCCGCGGGGCGGAGTAGCAGCGATGGATAAGAAATCTGTCGCAGCTCTATCCATGAAGATGGGTGCCTTAACCGAAAACCTGGACTCAGCATCTCCATTGAAGTGAGAAGGATCCCCCAAAATGAACCCAAAATGGCCCCTGGTTGAGTATTGAAATGTTTTGGAATTATGAATTCTGGTAGCTCATTTGAGTGGGCTCCTGGAAGTTTGATCTTGGGAATGGGATTGATCTTGCTTCGTATGCCAGTTGACTGGATTGTCTCACTTGTAGATAGTTGGCATATTTAGGCATGGTTTACAAGTCGCTACCAAACAGCTGTGATATATATATATAGTTATATATATACATATAGTTATATATGTAGTTGTATATATATATATATATTCATGGTGTGGTATCAACACATGTGTTATCTAAGGGCCGGTGTTGTTGGTGAGACACCTGATGTTTGATGGTTGATCAAGAATCGGCAACTGGGATCCTCACCGAAGTAGCTGGGATCAGAAGCGGAGGTGCTATGGAACAGAAGCACCCCAATGAACAGGCGCGGAAAAACAAACAGGTTTGGTTGGTCGGTTGAGATCCTGAAATTCCAAGAATGATGAAAATAATAGATATAAACATGTAAGCAACCAACATTTGGGATATTACTGTTGTAGAATCATCCAAAAGATTCAGATGTGCCACCAAACTTTGAGTTTGATACTGAACATAAACCAGTCGTGATTCCTTGAGTACCCGTGGGTTGCCGGTAAAGATTTCCAACCGGTTTCCCCGCCACCCAAGTGGACCGGGAATTGGGGCTACATTCCTGGTGCTTCAGTGGCTCAGGATTCTTGATCCGTCTTGATCCCACATTTTCACCCATATCACTTTATTTTTTTCCATGCCCATCTATCCATTTATCCCATTACTTGTTTGATCTTTTCTTCGGCCACATTCCAATTCTTTTTTGGTTGAGTTGAAGTTCTACTTTTTGTCGGTCAATCCCCACTGGCCACATCCCTATGGTCAAAGTCCCTGCTCCGAGTAATTGCCGATCCATTCCCATTTTCTCCGAGTTCTTGCTAGTTGAATCTCCAACTTGGCAGGAAGTTTGGCACCATTTGGCCTTTTCAAGGCTGGATTGATGCGTAATTTTCCTGGAAAATTGCTGGAGGTCAATGGATGGAACATATCGCAACCATGACATCTTATCAAATAGATCAAATAGATAGAAAGGTTGAAAAGCTGAAGTTTACATCGCATCCCGATATAAGATGATATAAGTCTAATCGACAAGATCCAGCAAATACCAGTTTTGGCGGTTGGTTGATCGAGGTGTGCCCAAAAACTGGAGCCAACGAAAAGGGGTGGTTTGCCCTTCTAGCCACGGCCACGAGTTCCTTTTTTTCACGGGTAAATAACCATAAGTGCCATAACTAAGAAGTACCCCTAGGAAAGGAAAAGAACTAATGGCCACAAGTCGCGTACCCTGGGCTTCTTATTTCCAGCCAGTAGATAGGGGTGAATCCAGCAATCCAGCCCCTGAAGTTGGTTCTGAAACAGTGGTTTCACTGTATATAAAGGATATCATATGGCACAATCTGCAGAAAAGTCAATGAACTGACCCCCCAAAAATGGTATAGCTAAGACTTGAAGGACTGCAGCCTCCATTCGTGGATATGCCGCTTCTTGTTGCACAACTTGGTTAGTAGCATCTAATTGTAAGACCCAAACATGTCAATGGGGGATTTTCAATAGTTTTCTTATGTTTTCTTGGCTTCCTAGTGTCATTTGTAAGGGGAATTCACTTTGCGTCACATCATTGGATAACTACCTGGCTATGGCGAATTATTGGCCCCAACAAGTGGGTACCCCAACTCCCGGAGGCAGACCATGGCGGCGAACTCTGCCGCTTCGGCTGCTGAGTGGCCACTGGTGCAGGCGAAGCGAGTCGTTCTGGAGATCTTTTGGATTGTTTTTCGAAGATCAAACAATAACGAATGCATGTTTTCATCTCGGGTTGGGCACGTCTGAAAATGGGGTACATATACCACCAAAATTCTCCAGTAAAAAAAAAGACATTGATGATAAACCGAAAACAAGGGGTACCTTGTTTGAAAACACCATCTTTGCTGACTGTTGACACCACAATTCTCAGGCTTTCAAGTTCAATTGCTGTTTGTGGCTCATCCCAAGAATGTTGTCACTGCAGGAATCCGAATGTTCTTCTCTTTCCTCCGCGTCATTGGATGAATATGCGGAGGACCGATTTACCAGTTGAACCTTTACCAGTTGCACCCTGAGACCGAGAGATGGCAGGACTTCTGCATTGATCGACATCAAACTCGACCAGTGTTTCAAGCAACTTGGCAAATCTTGGCAAATGTGCCTTTCATGTCATTGTTCTTGGGTATGGATATATGATGGTATGAGATGGTATGAGTATGATTTGAGCAAGAGTCCTTTGAAGGTAATTTTGCACCATATCATGACGGATATGGGGGAGCATGCTCAGGCATTGAACTGAAAACTGAACAATTTGAATAAACAGAGCTAACAATAATATGAAATCTACATAATTAAATCAACTAACAAATACTAAATATTTTGAATATATCACATATTTTAATTTTCTCTAAATTAGTTCAAATATATTAGAGATATCTATCATTTCTTTATATATTTTTTTCATATAAGCTAAAGCGCTTCATCCTGGACCGTGTTTTTGTTTCGTTAGTCTTTGTTTTTGTTGTCTGTGTCTGTCTGTCAGTCTGTTAATTGTTTGTTTGTTTGTCTATAATATGCATGTTTATCTGATCGTTTGTCTGTTAGTTTGCCTTTTTGCACCCTTTTATTTGTTGGTTCCTTTATTCGTTGATTGATATTAAATCTGATTATTGGATAATATGTTTTTTTAATTAATTATGTTCTTTTTATTATTGGATATATTATTTATAAATTAATTTATAAATTATTTTCCTAGTATTTAGGTATTATTTTGTTATTTTTAAATATTATATTTATTATAGGATAATTATAAATAATTATAATTTGGAATTTATATTTTTATTATTAAATAACATTATATAAATTAAACATATTTAATTAAATAAAAATTATATAATATATTTTTTTTCGGTTGGTATTATTTATTTAAAACATAATTAGAATAATTATATATATTATTTATTGATATTACTAATTTTAAACTAAATTATTTATAAATAATATAATTTATTACATAATATAAATTAATATATAATTTAATTAATAATTAAATAATATTAAATATTATTAATTTTAAATTTAATTAAATATTTTTTATATGGAAATTTATATTTTATATGGAATAATTAAATCTAATTTATATTTTATACTATTTTTTAGCATATTAATTTTATTAAAATATTATATTACTAAAATATTATTTTATTAAAATATTTTAATATTAAAATATTAAATTTGAATTTTATTATATAGTAATTTATTATAATTTATTTTAAAATAATAAATCGAACAATTTATAAAATAATAATTTTAATT